TCTACAACTTGATTGTTTTATGTTCAATCTACTTAAATTTGTTACGTTAACATGATAGATTTGAGTTGGGACCCTGAATGAATTGTAGAACCCTGCATTTTTTACAGTGTATGGCTATTTTGTTTTTTTAAAAGGGCACCAATTTTACTTATTTTACAAGATGTAAGATAAGCTTTTAGTGTCTCCAGAATGCATCTGTAAAGTTTCAGCTCAAAACACCATTCAGATTATTTATTATAGCCTCCAGAATCTGCCTATTTTTGGTGTCTGAGTACAGTGTAGCTGTTTTTGTAGCCTGTGGCTTTAAATGCAAATAGCTGCTTCTTCAATCCCACTGTTCCCATGTGCGTGTCTGCTTCTCATGTGTTATGTCAGATAAACAGCAGTGACAGAGACAGACTTGAATGAAGCTGAATAGTATGAATGAACAGCTCGATAGTAAAAAAGAAAAAAAAAAGTAATTTTAATTCATATATTTGTGGCATTCAAGCCTTTCTGAAACGACAAGTCACACACGAATGCCATTTGCAGTACACACACACACACACACACACACACACACACACAAACACAAACACAAACACACACAAACACAAACACAAACTGGCCTTTACTGACACCATGGCAGCAGACAGACCTGGAGGTGCCGTACGGCTCAAACACCTGCAGCGCGAAGTAAATATATTTAATGCTAAAAGGCTTACAGTAAGATTATGTATTAAATACATTTACAAAGACAAAAACGAAGGATGTTTTTGCTATAATTTTAGTTCGTTTCAGTATGTACACAATACAGTTTCAGTTAGTTCTAGCCTTTTAAAGAAACTTTAAGAAAACTTTAGCTTTCGTTTTTTCATTCATTTTTGTTACTATAATAACCTTGCTACAAAGTGTTCTTTTAACACTTGATAGATTGGGGCCATATATTATCTTCAGTATTGTTAAAATCAACACTTTAAGTGTTAAATTGACGCTACTTATTTTACCGTGTAGGGGAAAGACCACTTTTAACTGCTATTAACTGGAAATTTTCTTCTTCTGTTTAAAAACTGAAAACAGACACCCACTGACTTCCAAAGCAAATACAAATACTGCTTCCACCTCTCTTCTTTTGTGTTTAACAGAAGAAATGATCACATAAAGCTTTGAAACAAAAGGATGAGTAAATGATGACAGAATTGCCTTTTTAAGGTGAACTATTCCTTTAAATGATTTTAGGAGAAATGCTGGTAAAACCAAATTCTGAGTTAATGCATGCAAAACAGGTGCTTATTTACCTCCCATGATGAGCCCCAGAGCTGCTCAATGAAATGATTGATAATGTGCTCATAATCAAGGTGTTATTGCTTAATGGTTTTGGATCGCTCAGAACGAATCTTGGCAGGAAGGCGTATTAAGGTGGGAGGTTTTCCCCTGGGCTTATAGAATCTGAGACAGGAGCCGTGATGTGGAGCACACCGATTCCACATGGCTGAACACAATCACACCAAACAATGAGAGAGAGCGCTGAACCCACAGACAGCACAGCCCACAAACCTCTCTCAGAGAACTGCAGCAAGAAACCTAAATGCAGGAGCTCCGTTCTGCTGCCAAGCCCACTGAAATGAAATGGCTTTTGAGTTTGGGTCAATGGCACATCACCTGCTGTGGTGTACAAACAATGCTTACAGTCCAACTAGATTAGCCATGCACTGTGCAAAAATCTAACTGCCAATAATTGTGTTTTGTACTCTTGCTTTTGAAGCATGGTACTGTACTAACCTGTGGGCTAGAAAGTTAGGCAGGCAAACCAAAGGAAGCATGTTCAATCTCAACAGGGTTGTTTACTGCATTTGAGAAAATGAAATCTGAATAAAAATGTTTCATCATGACATGGAAAATTGAAACTAAACTGCAGTACATTCCTAATGCTCCAAAGATACATTTTTTGATTTTATTTATTTATTTATTTATTTATTTTGCTTTATTAAGTTCATTTTATGTCAGAAAATAAAATATACATAATATTGATACATATAGAAATATACACTCACCGGCCACTTTATTAGGTACACCTGTCCAACTGCTTGTTAATGCAAATTTCTAATCAGCCAATCTCATTGCAGCAACTCAATGCATTTAGGCATGTAGACATGGTCAAGACGATCTGCTGAAGTTCAAACCGAGCATCACAATGGGGAAGAAAAGTAATTTACTTTTCTTGAACGTGGCATGGTTGTTGGTGCCACATGAGCTGGTCTGAGTATTTCAGAAACTGCTTATCTACTGGGAATTGCATGCACAACCATCTCTAGGGTTTACAGAGAATGGGTTGAAAAAGAGGAAATATCCAGTAAGCGACAGTTCTGTTGGGGCAAATGCCTTATTGATGCCAGAGGTCAGAGGAGAATGGCCAGACTGATTCGAGCTGATAGAAAGGCAACAGTAAATCAAATAACCACTCGTTTTTCCTGAGGTATGCAGAATAGCATCTCTGAACGCACCACATGTCCAACCTTGAGAAGAAGACCACACCAGATGCCACTCCTGTCAGCTAAGAACAGGAAACTGAGGCTACAATTCGCACAGGCTCACATCAGTCAAAGCAAAATAGATTTGGTTCTTGTAGATGGCTCAGTCACTGCATGTTCTTACCTTAAAGACATTACAGAACCAATCATCATACCCCAATTCCGCCAGCACACCCCCAACTTTCTGTTCATGGATAATAATGCTCCACCACAACGTGGTAGAATTGTCACAGCTCGACTTCAGGAATTTGGGGTTCTTCATACAGTACGGCCATCAATGTCCCCCGATCTGAACCCCATAGAGCACGTCTTGGACCAGTTGAAGCAAAGACTGGCTGATCATACCCCACCCTCACGAGACCTGGCAAAACTGCAGTAGCACTTGTGGAAGAGTGGAACACATTGCCTCAGAACAACATCATGGGAATACTGAGGATCATGAGACAATGCTGTCAAGCTGTCATTGCGGCAAATGGTGGAAACACTTGCTACTGACATTGATTGTCAATTTTTGTAATTTGGGGCCATCCTCGTTATTGTTTGCATTTTTGGGTTAATACATATTAAACTATTGAAAATGGTGTTTTTTTCATATAATAGTCTTAATATCAAAAGGAAACTTTTACTTATTTCATCAAATTTCAGAGCAAATCTGAAAAGCACTCATGAAAATATCAGTATCCCTAACTCATTGTGAGTAGTGTAATTCTTTCTAGAATATACAGTGCAGTATTATTGCTCCAAAGCAAAATTTAAAGGTCCCATGAAATTAAAATAAAGTTTTTTAGATGCAAGTATTAGTATTGTTTGTTGTTAAGATATCTATAAGCCAATGCGCACCAAAACAGTGCCAAAATTCACGTTTAGAAGATATAAAACATAAACAAACATGTAAAGCTTGTAGTTTGCCACTTCCGCCTAAATGGATCAACGTCACGTAACCTCACACTTCAGTTCCTTATCACATCATAACCAATCAAATGCTCTCTAGTATCTGACATGCCCCGCCCCCTTCAAGAAGCTTCTCATTTGCTTTTCATTTGATGTGCTTGAGCTCGACCACTCTCACTGGCAGAGTGGTGATAAAACAAAACGCTATTGGCTATATATACACTATCATACTCTTTCTTCATGTTTTGATTGAGATTATGCCAAACATCGAATAAAAATGCATATTTCAAAGCACTTCACGAGACCTTTAAGCTTTGTATATAATAAACATAATAAACAAATGTTAATTTTACTATATTTCAATTGTTAAAAAATGCATTGCTTCAGCAGACAAATGGGTAAAAAGTAGTCACTTGAAGAATAGTTAAGATTTAAAATGCCTTTGACAATTTAAAAAGTGTTTTAATAATCAAATAAAAAATAATTTCTGATCAAATTATTGTTACTATGAATAACATTTGTTTGTCTTCTCTATATCAGGGCATAAATGTCATCGCTTACTCTTAAAAATACAATTAAGCAAGACATATTCTATGATGGGAGTGGGTTGTTAAAACTGTATTTGAGTTGTTTTCATTCATTCAATTTCCTTTAGCTTCGTCCCTGATTTATCAGAGACCGCCACAGTGGAATGAATCACCAACTACTCTTGATGCTTGAAAACTACTTCATTTCAACAAAAAGAAAAGCAAAAACAATTAGATCTTTTTTCAGTATTCTTTACACCGACTGATTTACACTAAAACTTACACAAACAATGTTCAATAATGATCAAGTCACATTAATCTGTGAGATTTCTTTTGGAGAAAATTAGTCAATGCGACATAAAATCTACACAATAACAAGTTAATGTCAATATGAAAAAGCAAGAAGTGCAGATTGAATTCATATTTAAGTTGGTCATGAAAGTTTGAATGCTGAAAGCTGCTTGGATTGACAGTAACTGTAAGCTGTTCTTCATGCATTGCTATGCCACTGACAAGTCGAAAACTTTTTTTTTTTTTGCACAAAAACCTTTGCTGATGCGTCAAATACACAGCCATATTCAACTAGTAGAGCTAACATCTATATTGAATGTTGGAAAACTCACTCTCCCCTGGTGTCACGGACAAGTTCTAGACTAAATTGCATGTTTGAGTGGTCTAAACTGAAAATAACTGGCAGTTAGATATGTTAAAATATATCCGTGCCATCGATGTGTCTCAAGATACACACTAATAATGTGTTTTTTTTTTCTAAATTATTTTTATAAAAGCTGCTTAAACACCCTAATTTACATGCATCCAATAGTCCTGATTTAAACTAACCCCTTGTTTCTGAAACCGGCCCCATGAGTAAACAGCAGGATTTGTGACTCTGACTAAGAATTATTGTTAATTCAAAGAAATTTGTTGAAGCCATTTGCCACACACTCACACTCTTATCCCATCCTCTCTTTATCCTCATATCAACAAAGGCAGCAACATGTCAATAAAAAAAATAATAATCCAATTAATTTGAGCTGTAGACCAGCAAAATCATCCTGAGCCAGTGACTCACCTGGAGGAAGAAGAGGTGCTGCGTGATGTCTTGTACCAACTCTTCTTCTACATTTTCAGGGTAAAACTTGGCCAGGAAATAAAACACTATAGGCTCCTCTTTGGGCACATCATGATCCAAAACCTATTATGAAAATAAGTCATTATAAGTGTTGCACTCTGCTTTATATACACAGATCAGAAAGTACTTAAAATGACCATATTTTACTACAAAAGTACTATGGTAAGATCACATTTTCAAACAAAAGTAGAAAAAGGAAAGACAAAAAGGTTTGGAACAAGTGAAGAGAGAGCAAATGATAACAATTTAAATTTTTGAGTGAACAATGCCTTTAAGCAAGTTAGAATATCATATCACATAATATGGTCAGTGGTGTAAAGTAATGGATAACAAATACTCAAATTACTGCAATAGAATAGGTTTTCTCAGAAATTGCACTTCAGTAGTTTTAAAAATGTGAACTTTTACTGGAGTACATGTTTAGTTCTGTATCTGTACTTATACTGCTGTATTTACCTTTAACCTGGAGTCACTACTTTATTTTTGTCTAAGGGCGTACTCACACTACACTATCCGAACCGTGCCCAGGCCCGTTTCCCGGATCGTTTGAGAAGTGTAAGTGCACTGAATCGGGCTCAGGCACGGTTCAATTAACCGGCCCTGGCCTGGTTGGAAGAGGTGTGCCTGAGCGCGGTTCACTTGGGCTTTGGCGCAGTACGCTTGTAGTGTGAGTGCAAAATGCGCCCATGCCCGAAACTGAAAGTGAGACGTGACATTAAAGGGGCTGTTTCATATGGATTTATTAATCCATCTTACTGTTCAGTGAATGCAAACTGCCGTAGTTTATTAAAGACGCAGACACCTTACTGCACGACAGCTGCGCACCTTCAGCAAACCTCCTCATTCCTGCAGCACGAGGGCTTTGTGATTGTTTATGAGCGCCAATAGTGGCAGGTCAGTTCGGCGAAATATCTGACTGCGTGTCACCGCATCCCTAAGGACTGTTTGGCGAAATATTTGACGGCATGTCACTGCATATCAAACGACTGAAACGATATAAATAGGGAAATCTCCACTGTGCTGAGCGAGAGCGCTCACTCAACAGTGCAGCATCGATCACGTAAGCGTGCCGAGGCCCGATTGTAGTGAGTGCGGGCCGTCGGGGGAGACGGGAGGGGGGACAAGCGTGCTTTGGCCCGGTTCGAGGCAACTGTACATAGCGTGAGTAAGGTGATTGGCTAGAGCTGTTAGTCTCATCCAAACGAATGACACACAGAAAAATTGCAATAGACAGACTGACCTCAAGACACAGACGCTTTATAAATGTAGCAAACATGTACAGTGTGGAACAGTTAAGTGTCCAAAAAGACACAAAATCATTACATGTAACGAGCAAGAGACTGTTTAGATTGCATGTCACTGATGAGAAGGTGAAGGATGCCTACTGTATGATGATGAGAAGGTGAAGGACGCCTACTGTATGATGAGAAATGGCCTTAAACAACAACTAAATGCACTACAGAATGTTACGTTTTCAGATACACACACAATTTGCATGCATTCTATTAGTGCTTAGTTTGTGGCACCAACTGCTGGACACTTATTAGTCAGGGTTCAAAGTGCATAACCTAAACATTAACATATCATCACAGCTAGATTTTCGCCCTATAGGTTACACAAATTTTGCTATACATGTAAACACATCAAACTTTCACTGAATATTCACAGTGTAATAGACACGATTCTTGGCTACTTTTAAAAAAGAGAATATTTTTTACTCAGTAGTATTCAGATACTATTTACTCTATTAGAACAAAAATTTTTTGGCAAGTAATGGTACTTTTGTTGAGTACAGGGTTTCATAGTCAAACTTAAGACATTTTATGACCTTTTTATGAACATTATAAATGAAGTTTTTATTTCACATTATATATTATGTATTATTTTACATTATATAAATCAAGAAAACTATTAATTTATTTAATTTTAGATTATGTAGGCTTTCAATAACTGTCATTTTTCAACAAACCAACCTGGTTGTAGCCTAACCTAAATCATCAATTGCCTTATTTGCCATAAGTTTATGATCCGTGGTGGAGAGAGCACTAGAAAAAACATACTCCAGTGTGTCCTCATGGTCTTACAATGTTTCTTAAATTTCAAAAGCAAATTGTTAGGCCTTAAGTCTTAAATAAACAAGTCTTTTTTTTTTTGGTTTTTTATACCCATGTAAAGTTACCCAAATCATCAGCAATCCATTTTTATTTTAAGTTTGTATTGCAAAGAGACAATTTCTGTTAGACATTTTTACATTACACAACCCCTCATGATAATAACAGAGCAAAATATCCTTTTACATTATTACAAAAACCATTGAAGAAGAAAGAAGCAGGCTAGAGGTCAGGGTGGGACTGTTTTTATTCGAAAAAAAGATAAAAAAAAAAAACAAGATTGGACAAACAGCTTATTCCGGTTCTTAAAAAGGATTCAGTCAGTGTCATTGTTTTGAAATTTAAATCTGTCATTTAAGTAAAAATGATCTAGAGCAGGATTTATTTTGCTCTTTTTGTTTAGTTTATTTTGTTTTTCTATGCTATTGGAAACACTGCAGGTGCGTGAAGATGCTCTGTTATGTTCTGTAAGCTGTTCACATGTTAAAATAAATCAGTATTTTAAAATGCAGTAATTAATGTTTCACACAAAATTAGCATGTAAATTATTTTTTTTATTAAATAATATTTTAATATTAATCTGTTAACAGTTAATATTCGGTTAACGAGCGGCGGTTGTCGGTTGGCAAAATTAACCGAAATAAGCGTCCCTATTTTAGAATTATGAATAGTTGAATATGAATATATTTGGATGTCATCACTTTACAGTGAATTATCAAACAGGACACTGAAGTCTGTTCAAGTTCACCTTTCCAAATCTATACAAAATGTAGCATTTTAACCAACAGTAGACTTACACATAGGCCTAATATCATTATTGTTGTTTTAAGTTTGAGAAATAACAATAATAATAGCCTTCTCATATTAACCTTTATTTTACATCTACAGAATCGTGAGAAAATCATGATCTTCATTTTAAGCAAAAAAAAATCATAATTCTCATTTTAGCCAGAATCGTGCAAAAAAAAAAAAAAAAAAGTTTAAACTAGTGATTTACCTTCTTGTCCATTTTCAGCCAGGCCACAGTGTCTTTGACGTCGTACCGCAGACCAAAAAACCAAGTCTCCCTGAGCCCCAATGTCCGGCATACAAGTTCAAACAGATCCTTTCCTCGCCACTTCAGCTGCCCAAACAAGATAACAAAAAAGAAATTGAAAGTATTTTAGACCCATTCCTATGTCATAATTCAAACTAAAACAAGAAGTTGGGTTCGGGACATACATGAACATTGACAGATCACAATAAAAAGCTCATTTTAATTTCAAGAAGTCTTTATAGGAAACAGCTTAAACTCTCTAAGGATTGAAGCAGACTAATCGAATTCAGACTGACCACAAATCTAAACAGCACCGGCGTAATGAACAGCGACGTTCCCTGAATAACCTCATTTCCACAGACTATGCGGACACAAAGCGAAGAAATTAGTCTGAGCATCATTACAAAGTCACTGCTGTCAGCAAGCGCATGCACTCATTTTTGGACCTATAAGTTCATCTTTTATCCAAGGACTACTGTCAAGAGGCCAGAAAGAAAAATTACCATATTCAGCTGGTGAAAAATGCATATCAGTTGCTCGTTTCCCATTAAAATTAAACTGACAGTACACTGTATGCATGCACAGAATCAATAAAGCAGTGTTCATGCATTATAATTACCAAAAGCACTTGCATGAAACTCATTTTTATAATTAAACTTATTGGTTTGAGATGAATTAGACAGGGAAAAACATGACTTTCAGATTTCTGAAAAAGCGGTACACTTAATTATTGTGAACCTGCACTGTAAAAAATATCTGTTAATTAACAAACTCTGTATTTTGTGATTCACCAGTGTTTTCCATTTATTTATGGTTGTGAATTGCATTATGGGACTTTGATCTCTGCTTCGTCAACTTTTGATGTTGGAAATTCAACTCTACAGTTTAACAAAGTGACTTTGGACATTTTAGTAGTTTGAAATATTATGTATCAGAAATAATATGTAGAGAAAATAAGCCTGTAAAATAACTGCATATGTACTGGCAGTTTATTATCAGGTTGTTGTACTGTATATACACCAACCCAGACAATAAATCACTTTGAACTATTAAAATGTGAATAAAAGTCACTTTTTCGAACTTTGCAAGGCTAAAAATTGTTGGAAGAAAGATCAAGTATAAAGCATAAAGTGGGAAAAAATAAAAATAAATAAAAATAAAATGACAAAATATGGAAAACCAACGCTAACTCATGGCAATTTGTAACTTTTTGATTTAGTGGCTACTTTGTACAATCTCGTTCGTACAATTTAGCTAAATTTGCTCATCCCCCAGTGATGGTTTGGTGTGCCTCGCCCACTTTTAAAATTGTACATATTCGTACAATCGAACTTGCGTGAGGGTGGCACGGTGGCGCAGTGGGTAGGCATAGGACGATAACCGTTTTCAAGGTATACCACTGTTTGGAAAAGTCAAGGTTTTAAAACCCCCAAAATTTTCAGTAATACTGTTCCTAAGGTATGTGTAAGATTTTTATTTACTTTTTAATGTTTTCAGGACAACAATATTTGCAGCAGAAAAGATATACAAATATGCTGTTTTAAATTGTAAAAAAATCTGTTTCTGACACAAATGAAGACAGCAGAAGTCAATGACTCATTTTCATTATTTAACCTGACATGTTTATTGCTCCAAAATATTTTAAACCTTTCTCAAAAAAAAAAAAATTGTTTTCAAAGGGGGGGGGAAATTGACAAAAACCCCCCCCCCAAGACAAAAAATCCAAATATTGAGAAATTTATGTTTAACTGTCCAAATTAAAGCATTAACTATACAAATTACTAATTAAAAAAAAAAGTTGATACATTTATGGTAGGAAACAAAAAAAAAAAATCCCAGTGCACTGAAAAAGACTGGATTTATTCCATTTTCATTAAGGTAACTGGTTGCAATCAATTTATATGGGCTGAATTTAAACAGACAGTGTTACTAAGCATTACTAAACTTAATTTATTTAAAGTCAGCCTATATACTGTACACTATCTGACAAAAGTCTTGTCGCCTATCCAAGTTTTAGGAACAACAAATAACTTCTAGTTGATCATTTGGTATCAGAAGTGGCTTATATGAAGGGCAAAGGACTGTAGATTATGCTTACTCTACCTAAATAAAATATAATCATGCCTTGAGATTACAATTTTTAATTGCAGCGGAAAAATAATAAATATTGTGAATGACTTCCATGAGCGTGGAGGACTGCATCCATACATCTCTGCAATGACTCAAATAACTCATTAATAAAGTCATCTGAAATAGCACAAAAAGCGTTCTTGCAGGACTCCCAGAGTTGAAAGATAACTCTATAAAGATTCTCTGAAATTATCTTCAATGCCTCCTCCTCCATCTTCCCACAGACAAGCTCAATAATGTTCATATCTGGTGACTGGGCTGGCCAATCCTGTAGCACCTTCTTTGCTTTCAGGATCTTTGATGTTGAGGCTGAAATACAAGGAGCACAATCCTGCTGAAGAATTTGCCCTCTCCTCTGGTTTGTAATGTAATGGGCAGCACAACTGTCTTGATACCTCAGGCTGGCATGTGGCCATCCACTCTGCAGATCTCTCGCACGCCCCCATACTGAATGTAACTCCAAACCATGATTTTCCCTTCACCAAACTTTACTGATTTCTATGAGAATATTTTACCCATGTTGGTTCCAATAGATCTTCTGCAGTATTTGTGATGATTGGGATGCAGTTCGGAAGCAAAAATCTACCTTCTGCCACTTTTCCTAATGATCAACAAAATGTCAAGTTATTATTTGTTGCCCTTACAGCTTGATGAAAAGACTTTTGTCAAGTTGCACAATTTGTTTGCACCCATTCACCTTAAAAAACTGAGTAAATCTAATGGCTCATTTTTATCACTGTGGAAATTGATCTTTAATTTTTGGCATAAAAGAAAAAGCAATAATTTTGACCCGTACAATATATTTTTGGCTATTACCATTATCTACATGAAACTGATTTTGTGTTCTAGGGTCATAACAATCCAAAAACTGCAATCTGCAGAAGTATATTGGCAGAATATCAATTAGAAAACTCATCTTGTGAGAATAATCCTCTTGTGTAAGCATCTGCGCTCGATTAGCCTCGTCATTAGCAGGACTCCAGTATACCAGGCATCATCTGGGCCCAGCTGGGCTAGATGTTAGCGGCTTGTGAACAATATACTTGCCACATATGTCAGCTTGAATGATTAAAAATTTACGACAGAGGTGAGAAACTCACTGTTATAAGCCCTGACAACTTCCATAGAGTATTGCAAACATCATCAACACTGCAAACTCTATTAGCATAACAGGGACAGGTGCATTTTGAGACGCGGTTTCATCTTGCCTTATGTTTATGTATGAGAACGTATGACAATGTGTTGCCATCCAGAGTCCAAGCAATTAAATATGCTGATGAATATCCTCTAGGAAAGCTGACGGCTCCCTTCAAGGACGACCGTCAAGCTGGTGCAAACATTTCCCAGAGAAATGAGGTGTGTCTTGGTGGAAAAGTATTTACTCACTGCCCTACATATTCGGCAGAGATGTTATGCGGCTTTTTAGGAAGAAGAAAAAATTGACAGTAAAATCAGTAAGCTCAGTGCCATTCTGTCTTGATCCAATATTGACCCCCAGGCTATTACCAGATTATAATGATTAAATGAGACACAGGCAGTCTTTCTTCATGTCTTAAGATTAGATGAGGTCAATACTACAGTCAGTGTCAGGGGAAAGTTTGTGAACCCTTTGCAGAATCTGTGATAATGGGAATAACTAACAAAATATTAATAAACAATGCATGCTACTTTTTATTTACTGTTCTGCTCAGTGGTGTAAAGTAACAAAATACAAATACTCCTAATTAAGTAGGTTTTTTTTTTTAGAAATTGTAAATTTCTAACTAGTTTTATAAATGTACATTTTTTCTTTCACTTGGGTATCTGTATCTGTACTTTTACTCCACTACTTTCCTTCAACCTGCAGTCACTACTTTATTTTTTTCTTGTCTTTGGGGACTAGAAAAGTCAGTTCTGTGATTCCTGTCCAATCAAATCGCACATAGAAGATAAGTCACATCATAATGAACTACCTCAAGACATGGGGGTTTTTATAATTGCAACAAACTGTTTGGAAGCATTAAAAGTGTGCTCGAAGCATTACACGCTTTGTGTGAGCCTTTTTAATTTATTAAATTTGCATTTTGAAGCTTTGGTGTTGCCGCCTTTGTGAATGAATATATATAGATATATATATATATATATATATATATATATATATATATATATATATATATATATATGTATATATATCTTATTATATATATATATATATCTTCATGCATGCACAACAGACTGCTATAATATTACTTATAAATATAATTTTGCTAAAAGTATTGTTGGTGATTGGCTGTGTGTTGGCTCGATTGGCAAGCTTTACATAAGACAAAAAAATAAAGACCTGTTCAAAATGATTTAACCAACAAACGATGTTTCAGTGAATTTAAGACTTTTTTAAGGCCTAAAATTCTGTTTTTGAAATTTCAGATATTTTAAGACTTTACAGCTCTACGGATACTCTGCAAACAAATAGAGCACAAATTAATGTAAAGCTCAAGTATTCTGAATATCAATCAAAATGCAAAAATGTATAGTGCATGACTTATTGTGGCATATTATCGTGGCCATCTTTACAGCAATCTGTTGTGCAATGCAACAACCATCTTCTGTGGTCCATACATTTAAATAGCATGCTATTTAGAAGCTAAATAATAGTAATAAAATAAAACTGGCCTTTTAGTTTTATCCAAAGACTCCCGTTTATGGACTTTGTTAAGATACCATATTCTCTCATTTTAAAATAAAATACTACACTGTATATACCCAACAGTTTCAGGAATTTCTGAATCGTGCCTTAGTGAGACGCAGTGTTGGTCTATAATAGAGTATTAATGTTGGGCAATAAGGTCTCAACATATGTGCTATAGGAGAGAGAGAGCGAAAGACTAGAGAGAAGCATTTTGTTTTATAAAACCATGCTGCCACCAAGTGGTGGTGTTTGAGAAACATGAACATAAACCAAAATAGATGGTGAAATC